CCCCAAAACCCCAAAACCCCAAAACCCCAAAACCCCAAAACCCCAAAACCCCAAAACCCCACATTGCAAACACTAAATTGATCTGGAAAATATTTAGTACTGCTTAAAATTAATAATTGGTAATGGAAGATTTGAGTTCTTCGATTTCACCTTTCGTAAGTTCGGCTTTTTCTTCTCTTGAACATTTTTATATCAAAAAGTTTCTTCTATATGCTTACTTAGTTTCGAAGAAGCATCTCTTTTCCCGATGTGAGATCCAGTTGACTTCTTTGATTTGATTGACTTTTTACTACTCTTGTACATCATGAGTTTGCCCATCTGGTCTGATACATCAAAACTTCTTCTAGATTCCTTATAAAATAGATGTTTGGAATTTGAGAGCTGTCTTTTTGACTTCTTCTTAGCTCTTTGAATAGTTTTCTCTAACTCCTTGAATGCTGAAACACTCTTTCTCTGCTTCTTATCATTTTTCCTAGCCTTCACTGATTTATTTGGATGAGGAATTGTTGTTCATCTGGGTGGTATAATCAATAGATTTCATTCTAAAGTGCCTGGAGAAATTAGTAGAAGGTTTTTCATGAATAACCTTCAGATTTTTTATATAAGATTGACAGTGAGATTTATCTCCCTTTGAATTAACATTCTGAGAAACTAAGCTCGATAGCAAACGTTTGTTCTTCAGTCTCTTTCTATTATTGTAATTTTTAGCCTTCTTCTTGTTAAAAATGAGAATGTTTTCATTTGGTCTATCTGATTCCATTTGATCTTTGGTTTTAAAGGAAATAAAATGGTCTTTTGACCTCAAATCAATAATCTCATTACTCTTCTTATATATGCCCTTAGGTTTGGAGATGTTCTTGGCCACGTTCTTTACTCCGTAATTCCTAGAATTATTCTTTCAAACTTCACTTGACTTTCACAGTTTCTTGATAGAGTATATTTCAGTATTTTTGTTTTTGAAATGCTTTATCGTGCTATTCTGTAATGGGCCTATTGTCTTGCTTAGTCTGAAGTTTAGGGGCTGAGATTGAGAAGATATCCCTGCCCTAGTAATCTGCTTCAGTTTTGCCTTTAGATTTGAGTAGGACTCTCTGACATCAGCTGAATTGTATTTCTCAGAGTTTGCTTTATTTTTGTTCATGATTTTGTAGTCCTTTAGTGACTTGTCGGTAGATTTACAGAAAGATTTCTTTTTATTTTGAAAGTTTTGGCTTTTTCTTTGGAGTTGAAGTTAATAAGGATCCAGATATTTCTATTGGAAGAGCTTTGGAATGAATTGATTTGTTTGGTTTTATGATTTCTTCGTATTCCATTTTTGAAGTGTTAGTAGTACCTACTTTGCTATTAGGAATAGTTGGAGGGCGGCTTTTACGTTTTAGAACAGCAACTGAGTTTTTTATGGCTGTTTGTGGCTTCTGAAATTCAAGATCAACGTTTTGTTGCATTGTTTGATTGTCTATAAAATTATTTAATGATTTTACCCATTCTATAAGAACCTATTCTTGATTTTCAGAATGATAAATTTGAAACTCCATCAATATCTTCATTTCCCATCTCCATTAAGCTTGTATTCACATTACTTAAAGCTCATTCAAGAGTATTTTTAGACTCTTCTTTCGCCAAAACTACTGATTGTTTACTATAGCTCGAAGCAAGATTTGGTTTCTTCTGATTTAAAAGTTTCCAAAGATCTTCTTCAGACATCTCTTCTTGTTCTTTCTTAAAAACCTCATTGAAATCAGAAATATTGTGAAGATAAGACTTGTTAAATAATTTGGAATAGCTTTTGTTCTTGAGCATTGGGTATTTATTTGCTCTGAGAATTTAGCATCTTACAGTACTGCTTGTCATCTATGACTCTTTGCTTTCGCTCAATGTTTTTGTACATATAGTGCTTTTCAGGGAACACAATGTAATTCGGGAAGACTTTAAAGTATACATTATGAAATTTTGTCAGATTACTAAGTCTTTTTGACATATCTTTTATTCGATAATATCTCTTCAAAAACTCGATAGGCTCATCATAGACTAAGTAATCTTTAAAGTTAGAAGTGACATGAGTTGCTCTGTTCTTAATAATATTGTCTACGATGGTCTTGTTATAGAGATCTCACTCTCTATCTACTCTGGTTCTGATCTTTGCTCTGACTCTTTCTCTGATTTCCTTTCTCTCTTTACTTCTAGAAGCATTATCCTTGACAAAGTCTACTCAAGCAAGAATGGCTTTAGCAGGAGGTCTGAGCTTTGCAAAGAGAGAAGACCTGTACTTCGAACAAGAAGTGTACTGAGTTGTGCATAGATTATTAATACTACTCATCTTGGTCAGCTGGTTAGACTCTGGATCAGGGGTACTTCGAAGGTCAGGAAGTCCCAGAGGCTCTATTTTACCTCACTTGATACTATTGTTGTTAAGGAATGACCTAATGTCCTTATTATTCATGTCCAAAACCTGGTCTTTGGGAGAAACCTGATAACCAGAGCTTTGCTTTGAGTTTCTTAAGGAAGTATTTTGAAGTTTAAAGGACGTGTTGGGGAAAGAGTATTTTCCTATGAGAATGTTGTGATCCTTTGATTTTATAAACTTTTTACTGAATCCTGCAGATGTAAAACCTTTAATTTTATTTATGCTTATTTGAATCCCATTGCTTTAGATGAATTCTGAGTATTAATATTTTTCAGAATCCCTTTCGCATTGTGAGTAGAAGTAAGTTTATTCCTGTCCTTTAATCTCATGTTTTTGATTGAATTTGGGGTATTCATAGTATGTTTATACTGGTGCTTATTATGGGGTGGACTAGAAGAATCATATAGAATTTTGTTCAATTGATTGTTCTATAAGCTTGACGTTAGTATATGAATTTATGGAGACGATACAATTTTAAAGCTGATTATTTATTTTATTATTTCCTAAGCATTTAAAAATTAAAAATTAAAAATTATGTGGCAATATGTCTGTTCTTACGGTATTTAGATGCGAAAGAAGATCTTTTGTTGCTTTGTCTCCTTTGTTCATTTGTTATTAGACTCAATAATATATGATAAAATTGGGGTTTTGGGGTTTTGGGGTTTTGGGGTTTTGGGG